GGAGCCCTGGCCCAGGCTGCCCAGGGAGGCTGTGGAGTCTCCTTCTCTGGAGATATTCCAGACCCGCCTGGCCGCGGTGCTGTGCAGCCTGCTCTGGGTGACCCTGCTTGGGCAGGGGGTTGGGCTGGGTGACCCACAGAGGTCCCTTCCAACCCCTGCCCTGCTGTGATTCTGTGATTCAACTCCTACCTTGCCCGGCTTCAGTTTGACCCACAGTTCGTTTTCCGGTCTCCTGAGCTCCGCGGTGAGCGTGCGGTGAGCAGCGTACCAGCGATGCACAACATCGTAAGGCACGGTGTTGATGACAGCACGATCATAGTTATTGTACCTGAAAAGTAAAGACGAGATAGGAGACTGCCCACATGGCTCCAGGAGCACAGCCAGGCATTTCCAGCGGGAACCTCAGGAGCCTGCAGCATGAGTCAGTATTAAGGGAAGCGACAGGCATGCCTAGGGAGGTTGTGCTGCACGTGCAGGACCCTCAGGAGATGACACAACACAGAGCGAGGAGGAGTTTACTCTCAAGTGAAGAACTGTTCTTGGTGGGTTTCCACGGAAGGACGGGCCACAGCAATGGGCAAGACTGAGGGCTGCTCCGAACACGAGTGCGAAGCAGTGCTGCACACCCTCCTGCACCAAGCCAAGCCAGAGTTTCGGAAAGCAGCCCAAATGTCCTCTGGAATGGGACCAGCCTGCGCTCTCCCTGTTCCCTGTTATGCCAGGCTAGTTTCCAGAGGCTCTTTCAGGGAAAGGCTGGATTCTACTGCCGCTCAAATGAAGCGAGATGAGGGCATGGAGCTGCAGGGAGGATGACAGGAGTGAAGAATCAAAGCTCAGCACTGACACTCTTCTTTGTATCGGTGGTTCTGACACTTCCTCTAAAGCAGCAACGCACGGCCCAGAAGGAAACGCCGGGTGTTTCTGTGGTTTCACCCCTGCCCCTCAAACTTCAGTTGGTTTTTCGTTAACGCTATCTCCTGGAAAACCACCACCGTCTGCCACAATCCCCTCTCCTCCCCATAAGCAAGGGGCCTCACGTGGACGTTACCTGATCAGATACAGCTCGTTGTTCCAGGGATAGACATTGAGCACCGGCCCAACTCCGATCATGTGGTTGTGACAGTCTCCCACGTTCTCGACGTACTCGTGCTTCAACGGCACCTTGCTGAGCAGCTCGAACTGCTCAGGGGCTTGCTGGAGAACCTGCTCTGCCGCGTAGAAACCATCCACCAGCAGCGTCCGCCCGCCCGTGCCCTCGTGCTTCAGGCAGTGAAACACCTGGATGCTGCATGGGCAAGAGAATCCAGAGCACAAGAGAAGACCTTGGCTGGCTGTCCCGCGGACGGAAGGCGCTTCCCATGGACCCAGACAGATGTGGATGGATGCACCACCCTTCTCATTTCACTAAGACCCCACAGGGAACGGAGACAGACCAGTAAGAAGCTGGGCACGACTGGAAAGAGTCTGGCCCCGTCCTCCTGACTGCCTCTCACCTGCTTGTTGAGAAGGCAGTTAGCTGCCTCCCAAATCAAGTGACGTGAGTCTGGGAGACTTCACGTGGTGTAGGATCAAGCCTGCATCACCCAGGGTCCATCCAGGCAGTGGGATGCAGAGGTTCAAACGCATGAAACCAACTTCCCTGGAACATCTCAGAACAAGAGGACAGCCAAAGAAATGCAGGTGGTGCTGCTGAGGTCTCCAGGAGCTACGAGAGGAGTGCAGGGTGACTCTCATTCAGAGGCACGCACCTCAGGGTCTCCCACAGGCAGTCAGCAGTCCCTCCCTCACAGAGACCCTTTGAAAAGCCTGGAGCAGAGGAGTTCCCGCTGAGAAGCTTACCTAGAGACATCCCCTCCCTAGTGGGAAGCCATCCAACTCAGCTTTTGTCCTTCTATTACTTCTCTGAAGCTTTTCTTTTCCTTCATCCAAGCAAGGCAGGCATTGTACTGCTAGGAACAAACACCCAGGAGCTGCCTCCAGCCACCTACTCCCCATTTTCACAGTGTACCAACTTCACTTGTCAGAACATTAACTGTGACCTTCTGGGAAAGCCTTTATCTTCCAATCTCCCTTCGGGGCCTCTTAACCAGGTCCCACAGCAAGTGATGTGGCGGGGCCTCCCAGCTCCACCCTCACCTTCTCGCCCTGCTGCTCTAACCGCCCTGCTACCCACAGCGGTGTCAGGGTGATTTTACAGAGTCAGTCCACAAGCGCTGAAGCAAAGGACACGCTGTGCCCCGCAGGCATCCTCCTCCTCCTGCAGCTGAGGGCACTGAGGAAGCCTCTTCCGAGGGCCGGCTCTTTGGTACCCGACAGTGAGATAACGCTGCAGTCTCTCCCATAGCTTGGGGAGCTTCTGTCCTCTACCCTTAGCAATAATTTAACTTGAGACTTGCCAGATTTGGCTGATTTCAGCCCAAGCAGTGGGGGAAAGCCCACATTCAGATGAACACATCTTTCTTGACAAACACCTCATTTCATTCAGAAGCAGGTCAAAGACTGTCTCAAGTGTTTTGGAACCAAGTCTGAAACAGCCTGGGAAGAAGGCATTTCTGGCAGAGATGGGGGCTCAGGAAAGCCAGAAATTCATGTTCTTCCTGCACAACTCCGGTTTTGCAGAGCTGCAAGCATTAATGGTTAGCCCTACTAATTTAGCCCATGCTGTCATTGTTTGATGTATGCTTCAGTTGGCTGCAGATGAGAATACACCTACCCGAAGGGAACACTTCCAAGTGGAAAAGAAAGGTAAAAAAACAGCTAATGAGCTCCATAGTTCCAGCACCGAGCACTTTAATCAAAGCTCTTTTGTAGGCTGAAGTTCTGATTGCTAATTACTTCTTTGTTTGATTTTGGGGAAGATTTTGTGAGCTCCTAAAACAAGTCAGCCAAGCAGGTAACACTGTGCAGGCCACAACAGCGCATGGGTTCTGCAGCGAGATGTTCACTGAAAACAGGGAACCCAACTAGCTCCAGCCCGAAGGGTGCAGCAGGACCTGGGCTTTAGGCACACACTTCTAGCTCCACAGAGCACAATAAAAGCCACTCACTTTGCTCGTGATGCTGAGCTGCTTCGGAACAAATGCTAAAGCTCCCTGCCGGGCTGGGCGCAGACCAGAGCGCTGCCTGGGCAACTCTACCCTTCCCGGTCCGAATCACAGAGTGTTTGAATGTTTCCAGGGATGGGGCACCCATCACCCGGCTGGACAACCTGTGCCAGGGTTTCACCACCCTCACAGTAAAAACTTTCTTCCTTCTATCCAGTCTAATTCTACACTCTTTTAATTTAAAACCATTCCCCCTCGTCCTGGGGCCGCTCTGAAATCCAAACGCTGCCAACAGATCTCACCCCTTGGTCCTGCTGGGCTTTTGCAGCCATGCCCCATGGACCTCTCCCATTAAGATCTTTAGCCAGTGAACGGCCTCACTGGGGAAGAGCTAACCCTGCCCTAGGGCAGGAGGCGAGGACTGCGTGACTTCTCTCTGCAGCCCTAGTTCCATCCCGAGCACAGCACTTCCATCCGTTCTGCCCCAGGCCATTTCCCGATGATTCCCTTCTTCAGCTGAAAGTAGACCGAAAAAAATTAAGCTTGAATTAAGCCCAAGTTTCTGGCACTTCACTGCGAACCACGATCAGGGCTGTGGGCTTTCCTTCTCCAGCTGTGTACGAAACTCACAGCCCAGAGGCTGTCTCGGAAAAGCAGCTTGCAAGCTGCATTTAGGGAACAACGCTGCAGCAACAAACTACTTTAGAGGCACAGACAGGTGGGAGCTTCGAAGGGCCGGGGAAGCCTGGTTCCTGACGACCCACAGGGCTGCCCCACGGCCGCAACGCAAGCCCCAGCCTGCTGGGACCGAAGCGGAGCGATGGCACAGAGCACAGCACGTCCGTCCATCACCTCTCCCGCGGCCTGGGAGGGCATGGGCAGCTACCGCAGGCTGTGCCAGGGCGAGGTGCTCTCCCTCCTTCCCCGGAGCGTCCCCCAACAGGGCTCAGCAGCACGAGAGACTGGGTTAAGCCAAAGCAAAAACTTCTTCGGCAGCTTTGTGATACGGGGCACGTGCTGCAGGAGGAGCTGTGCTTTGCCAGAAGCACCCGAAAGACAAATCAAACCCGCTGCTCGTTTCTGGGAGGCTGAATGCCGCACGTCACTTCGGAGGCGGAGGTGGGTGGGTTCAGAGGAGACCGTTAGATCAGCTTCAGGGCAGCACAGAAATGGCTACAGCGCTGAGCCTTCTTTCTGGCTACAAAGGCGACCTGAACCACAGCAACACCAAGCAGCAGCCAGCTGTCTACCAGCCAAACCCTCCACTGCCTGCCTTCTGGAAGCCCTAGAAGCTTCAAGCATAGGAAAGAGCGATCAGAGAGGAACCTGATGAAATTCAACAAGGCCAAGGGCAGGGTCCTGCACCTGGGCAGGAACAACCCCAGACACCAGTACAGGCTGGGGCGGACCTGCTGGAGAGCAGCTCTGTGGAGAGGGATCTGGGTGTGCTGGGGGATGACAGGGTGACCAGGAGCCAGCAGTGTGCCCTGGCTGCCAAGAAGGCCAATGGGATCCTGGGGTGCATCCAGAGGAGTGCGGGCAGCCGGGCGAGGGAGGTTCTCCTCCCCTTCTACTCTGCCCTAGTGAGGCCCCATCTGCAGTGCTGTGTCCAGTTCAAGCAGGAGGACGGGGCCAGACTCTGTTCAGTGGTGCCCAGCGACAGGACAAGGGGCAACGGGCACAAACTGAAGCCGAGGAAGCTCCAGCTGAACACGAGGAAGAACTTCTTCCCTCTGAGGGTGACAGAGCCCTGGCCCAGGCTGCCCAGGGAGGCTGGGGAGTCTCCTTCTCTGGAGATATTCCAGCCCCGCCTGGACACGGTGCTGTGCAGCCTGCTGTGGGTGACCCTGCTTGGGCAGGGGGTTGGGCTGGGTGACCCACAGAGGGCCCTGCCAACCCCTAACGTGCTGAGATTCTGTGACCCCGAATTGCTGGGTGACTGACTACAAGTAGTACATCCCATCAGCAGCACTGGAGACAACACAACGGCATCGCTGCGAATCGCTCCTGCCTTCCGCGCTGTGTGTCTGCGAAGCAGCAAAAGCACTCACCCACAGGGCTCCTGGAAGTAGGTTGTGTCGGTGTGACGGTCCAGAGCCAGCTTGGTGTAGGCCGTGTCTCCCCGAGAGAAGTCGGAGGTGAAGTACCACATTCTGCCGTAAATGGTCTCCCTGTAAAAGAGGCGGGCAGTTATCGCAGCGCGCTGCGGGGATCGGTGGGGTGGTACAGCAGACCCTCTTGCATTTGAGGTTACTCCCCTCCAACCTTACGTACACAGAAAACTGAAGCAGAACAGCTTCATAAAATCCACACTGTCAGGGGGTGGTGGTTCTAACGCCTCCTCTAGCATTTAATTTCTCCGTCCTCCCTGAGGAGACCGATGGCAACGAGCCTTGCTTCCCCTCCACAAACACAGAGCTCTCCACACCAGACATCAGCCCCAGTGAAATCACGGATGCCACAGGGTGACATGAGGAGTTGCCAGAGTGCAGACAGCCCTTGCTCGTAGCTGCCACGGCGTTGCCCAATAATCCCACTTCTTGTTCTTCGGATCCTGCGTTTTCACCCACCTCTCCCCTGCAACACGCGTGGAAGGGAACAGAGGGCAAGGAGAAACGGTACTCGGGGGCTATGGGGTGAGGGAAGCTGGAGAAAAAAAGTTGGCTGGTTATTCCTTGGAGCCCCTCACTTCTGTTTGGGGTCACTATTGATTAGAAGAAATCCCTTCTCTTCCACTGGTCCAAGGCAAGTCAAACTGTTTCTGCAGCTTGGATAAAACTTGAAGCTCAAACCCCGGCTTGCCATGCTGTTGGTGTGTTTTAACAAACCCAGAAGCAGCATTTCTCAATCCTTTAGCGAGAGCTACAAATTGTTTTTGATCTCTCTGGCTCCCAGGGCCAGGGCTGCCCTCCTAACCTTTCAAGTCATAACAGGAAATGTCTCTCCTTGCAAAGCTCCAGTCTTCCCAGGCTGGCTGCTTCCTTCAGCCACTCCTCTGTGCAGGGTCCCGCTGCCGCCGAGGCCGTCGCATGCTCCCAAGGCAGCCCCTAGACCTCGCGACGCCAGGCTCTCCCCTAAAAAGAGGTCTGACCCCGCAGTGCAACACTCCATCTCGGCTCAAACGGACTGGCCAGAGACTGTAGCAGACCCAGACCTTTGGTGTGCAAACAAGGCCACACTACGCAGTATCTAGGGATGAGAGGGCAGCAGCTTTCCAAACAAACAGTCAGCGGCCTTCCCAGGGCAGCCCCAGTTACCTGATTAAGCTGATCCTTTCCGCTAAGATTTCTGTGTCCTCTTTGGTGGGAGCGACGTTCTCTACAAAAGCAATCCCATACAACAAGAAGTTTTGCAGGAACTCCTTCAGCCCCTCGTCCGTCTCCAGGAAACTCCGGCAGTCAACGGAAGGCACCTGGGCTTGGCGGTAGATTTCTGCGTTCCAGAGAATCCGTGGGTGCATGACCTGCTGCTTCTGCCCCTCGTAGCTGGTCTTCACCAGCCACTCCAGCCCGTACCGCGTCACATGCCCGTCCGGCCCTTCGACAGGGGAGAAGGGTCACAGTCACCGCAATGGCACCGCACAGCCCGAGGCCGCGGTCAGTGCAACCGCCGGCCCAGGACAGTCCTCATGCTTTTCATTTTGCCTGGTGACAGCCTCTTTGCACCCTGCTGCCACTCAAAATATTATCTGGTTAAGGCCACAAGTCCTAAAAGCACTGTCGTTTTTTCAATTTATTTCAGCTTCAGAGGGTTTGTTTTATATTTGCAGGACAGGACTCCAAGGAGAAGTCAAGCACTGAAGAGAAGCCCACAAATAAAGGTAAGCTACAACAAAAGGAAGAAAGCAGCCAGGAGGCCGAGAAGAAAGGACAGAAATTGTGAGTTCTGACCAGGGACACCAGCTCAAACAGCACAGGATAAGGAAAAGCAAGATTTCTTGCCCAATCTGCTCACTGCCTGCATTGCTGCTGTGTTCAAACAAACCAATAAACCATCCAGACACTGAAGATACAGATGTTTCTACCCAAAAAGGGCTGGGGGGGAGGGAGGGGGAGGAAAAACAGGCACAATGTTCCGACCGAGGCATGTTCACAGCAACAGCGCTGCTCAGAAAAGCGGTGTTTAATATCTGCTTACAGCTGAACCTCTTCCCACAACAGCTACCCACTCAGAGACAAGGCTGCCCTCCCCCAGCAGACCTAAGGGTGGGATCCACCAGCAACACTCCCTCCAGGCAGGGCTTGGTGGTCCTGAAAACACGAAGGGCACAGGCGCTTTGCCACTTACAAGTGAGGAAGAGTGTGGTCTCGTCCACTCGGACAGCTTTGGGCTTGATCCCCAGGTCCACGCTCGCTGTGTCCAAGCTGCGCTGGTTGGTCTTGGCGTTGTAGCAGGAAGCAGAGCGGCAGTGGTCCCGCAGCCAGACAAAATCGAAGCGCATCAGCGTGTTGGCATATCTGAGCTCTGCAAAGGAGGACGGGCTCAACGGATGCACTGGTGTGAACAGCGAGAAAGAACCGAGCCAAGAGGTGAAGCTGAGCGCCCACGAGTTACAACCCCACTTTAGGGGATGCAGCGGCTGTCAGACTTCGCACGTCCCTGCGTGAGCTAAGCCAGCTCGTCGCGTGGGCACAAACTGAAGCAGAGGAAGCTCCAGCTGAACACGGGGAAGAACTTCTTCCCTCTGAGGGTGACGGAGCCCTGGCCCAGGCTGCCCAGGGAGGCTGTGGAGTCTCCTTCTCTGGAGATATTCCAGCCCCGCCTGGACGCGGTGCTGTGCAGCCTGCTCTGGGTGACCCTGCTTGGGCAGGGGGTTGGGCTGGGTGACCCACAGAGGTCCCTGCCAACCCCTGCCATGCTGGGATTCTGTGATGGCAATCAGGCAGAACACCTTCACAGCAGGCCTGGCTGTCGGTGATATCTCCATGGTCTCCCTTCTCCCCAAGCCTACAGGCAGTCTGGTCCTCCAGCAGGAAGGAGCATGGCTAACACACATGCTGCTCACATGCTGACTCTACCACCTCTCCTCAACCAGTAGGAAATTCAGTGCTGTACAGCAGCTGCTGCACGTAACATGGTTGTAGACCCCAGCACAGGAATACAGGCAAGGGTCAACCAAATAATCACAACAACATCCAAACTGCGCCAACGTTACGGACAACATCCGGACCTCGACGCAAAGCTTTGATGGCCATTCAGCACTACAACAAACCTCCTCCCTGTTGCATCCCGGGACAGCTTAGGAATACTCCAGGCCCTTCAGCAGGGGGTCAGGGCCAGCGGAGGCAACAGGAGAGCCCTCCCTGCTCTAGCCCTACTTGGTTTTGTAACCCAGCTATCCGAGGTCACTCTGCAGTGGGAAAACAAGAATATGCTTTCTGGGGACCACTGTGTTGGATAAAGTGCCGAGCAATTCCCTTTGCTTACAGGTGACTCAGAGCACCAACACCTCCCAAGCCTCAGCAGGCACCCCCAGGCAGACAGACACTGCACCAACGTGCCTCGGTCACCAAGCCACCCCTGAAAACAAAAAGGAAAAATCCAGCATTGGACAGCATTTATAACTGGCTTGCTGCACTACTTCACACGGAGACACACTCTCCTTGCTTTTTGTTTAAGCAGTGTCCCAGCGAGGTACGATTGGCATCAAAAAGGCTTTTTTGCCCCCCTGCCTCCTGCCACTCGCGCCATCCAGCCGCGCAGACGGACAGGCTGCTTGCAAACCCGCTCCAACCACCGCGTTCCACGCCTCAGCGTTTTAAGGAAAACCTGTACAAGCAGCGGCAAGAGAGCAGGGCACCCACCAAAGCAGCCATCCCCCTGAAGTCAGAGCCCCAGGCGTTGCACAGAACACGAGTGGCTGACAGGCAGGGCTCAGACACAGTTATTGTTCAGCAAACCCTCGATTTGATTTCCAATTTAGCACGGCCTCGTTTATCATAAAAGACTTCCCACCAGCAGACAGCCCTGCCTCTGGGAACTCCCAAAGCGAAGATTCCAGCGTGCACCCCTCTAACACAGGCCATATCAGAAGGAAAAAACCCACTCCTGGGGAACAAGGTCAGGAAAATCCCACGCCTCTCCCCAGGCAGACGGAAAAGCCCCCAGCACACCCACCTAGGTGGTCACCGTGTAACTGCCAGGCACACTTGAGGGACTCTGGGGCCGTGTGACGCCAGCGAGCCGCAGCCGCGAGGACGGT